TTATTTTATTTTATTTTATTTCTTTCTTTGGTAGTTTGGTTACACTGTTTTTTTTTGATTATCTTATCTCAATCTAATTGGGAAATTTTTGCACGTAATACAATGGGAAATTTTTTTTTTTATCAATATAATGAATATCAAAGAAAATGGTCATTAGTGCACTTTGTGTTTATTATTATTATTATTATTATTATTATTATTATTATTATAATATTAAGATAAGGTAAGGTAAATGTGAATATAATTGGAAACTAAGTTAAAAAAGGGAGTTTTACTTTAATCATTTTTTCGATCCGGAATTGAAGTTCGTTGATTTGATTTTGATTTTGATTTTGATTTTTGAATTTTGAATTTTTTGACCAAAAAAGCACAAATATTATTTTGAAACTTGGTTTTTTGGTTAGTTAGTTATTTATTTTATTCTATTTTATTTTATTTTATTTTATTTTATTTTATTTTATTTTATTTTATTTTATTTTAGTTAGTTTAATTTAGTTTAATCTAATTTATTTAAATAAAATTTCAAAACTTTAAAAACGAACCTCTTGAAAAAAAAAATCTTTATGGGTTTTGTTACGATAATGTGAAAATTCTTTCAAGAATATAGTAATTTCCCTGACCATTTGGGGAAAAAAAAAAAGGTATTTGGAATTTTCAATGAGAATTTTTAAGTCTGCATGATCGAGATCTAAAATATCCAAAAAAAAAAAACGTTTTTTTTTTTGTTCCTCAACTCAATATCATCATCATCATCGTCATCATCATCATGATGTCAATTATTAAACTTGAATTTTTTTATTTTTCCAATAATATATCATCTAGATTTCAATGATCTCTCTCTTTTCTAAAATCTAGAAAAAATGGGTCCAAACTGATCAAACTTTTATTGATACTGCCCAAGACTTCCTTTTAGAAGATTATCCCTTTTGTCAGATTTCAAGGTTTTTACTCACTTTAAATTAAAGATAATTTCCCAACCGGGAATTTCATTTAAACAGAATTTTAGATAACTAATTAATATAATATACGACTGGTCGAACAAAGAATTAGGAAATAGCAAAAGATTTTCCAATAATCAAAAAATAGATTTCATCATAATAGATTCAAGTCTGATTTTTGGGATCTCGGTAAACTTTCATATGAAAATATTTCACCCCCAATAACTCATTCACTCATTTTTAATCCTTCTACCCCTTTTTTTTTTTTTTTTTGTACTTCTGGGTCAAAGATAAGTGCAGAATAAGACTATCCTTTTTTAAATTTCTTTGAATCACCTCAAAAAAAAAACAAAAAAAAACGTTAGATATAAACCTTATCATTAATAGCTGCGACATGTTAAAGATGATCTAAAATAGAAAATCAAAGATTCAGATATTTTCAACAACAATACTGAGAAACATTGGCTTTTGTTTTCCCAAAACAAAAAAAATATAATCAAAGGAAGGGAGCTTTCAAATAGTATAGTACATGGAAGCTAAGATATAATTTTCTATTTTAATAATGGTTTATTTTACTAAAATATTGTTTTTTTTTTTTAGAGATAAAAAAAATATCCGAAATAATATTTAAAAATTTAAAAATCAAGATTAAAATTGATTATTAATCGAATTTATTCTATTAAGGGGGGGGGGGGTAACAAAACGATTACTTTATTTATTTATTTATTTATTTATTTTTTCACAAATTGAATAGTTTAAACCTTAAATCTTTTTCCTATGATAAGAAATTCTCAAGTGTGGAGTAATATGTGTCCATTCTATTAAATCTTTTAATATTATTCATTAAAAAATATATATATATATATATTTACATATATTCTTGTTGACCAATTTCTCACGCATTCCCCTTCCGTGGGAATCCTCTATTTTTCCTTTTACACCGCCATAGGACTAATTCGAGTTAATCGATTTATTCGTTGTTAGATTTAAACTTTGTCTCGATAATCTTATCTTAATCTGATTATTCTTAATATTAATAATAATATTATTATTATTAATGATAATGATATATTATTGTATTATGATCTAATACCTATATAATTTTTGATAAATGCCTAATTTCCCTCGTTTTTTCTATTAAACATAATGAGAAAAAGGATATTAAATGGATTATTTTTTATTTTTTAAATACTTAATTTGACATTAAGATATTAATTAAAAATTTTTAAATTTCTTTTAGGTTAAAAAATTCATGAGAAAAATTTTCTTTATATCATACTTTTTAAACTAAAAGTACAGCTAAATGAATTCTTTACTTTTTTCTACTACTATTTGAAATAATTAAGTTATATCAATTTCACCTATAATATAAAACTTTTTTTACCTATAATATAGAACATAGAACTTTCTTACCTATAATATAAAATATAGAATTTTCTTTAACTATAATATAGAACATAGAACTTTCTTTTACCTATAATATAAAACTTTCAAGAATCTTAATCCTGAAAAAATTTAATTTAATTTAATTTAATTAAATCTGAATCAATAATTCCCCAATCTATCTTTTCTATTATTAGACAAAGAAAAATCTTTGTGCAATTATCAAATTTTACTTAAAAATATAAAAAAAATTTCATTCGTTTTGGAATTCATGATAAAAAGCTTTTTAACAATTTCAATTAAATCTTTATTGAAGTTTATATTTAAACTTTAAAATTCTTTTTTATTTTAATCATATATATATATATATATAGTATCATAAATATTTAATAATCTCACGCTCAAAACTAGAATTTTTTATTTGAAAAAAAAAAAAAAAGTTTTTCTCGCGTTGATTGTTGTTCGAGATTTCAAAAAAAAATATTACAAGAAATTAAATAATAAATTAAACAAATAATATATAAAAAAAAAAATTTAAAAAAAAAAAATTCATTTCAAAAGGAAAGATTTGTAGATAGTTTAGTTCCAATATTCTCTTCAAGTGAACCAACCATAAAATATTTTTTTTAAGTATCTTGAAATAAAACAATCGGTTCTTAACTTTCCATTATTACTTTTTGTACAAATTTTTTGTAAATATCACTTGTAAATTATTACAAATAAAGCATAAAGTTTATGTTTATGTCTGAACCCCAAAGATTTTGAAATCATTTTTAGTAACATAATAGAGATAAGAAATATCTTTGCATTTTTGTTTGTAATTCAATTTCTCCTATTACTATTACAAGAAAAAGAGAAACCAGGGGTTCGCACGAATGATTTGATTTTATTAATATTTTCCTCATTATGTAATCTCTTTACTTGCTTACTTACTTACTTACTTCTCGTCCTCTATCACGAAAAAAATAATAATTTGTGGAAGATCAGAAGGTGGATTGAAAACTTATAAAAAAATATGTTTAGAACTTTGGTTTGGCGATTGGGACTTGAAAAAAAAAACCCCTAATTTGTCAGTTTTCGCTCTTTTATTTCAAAGTTTTCCCTTACAAATTTATTTTACCTAATTTTACATTAAAAATTTTGTTAATTTTATAAAATTACTAAATAATCAAAATCTATACTTATTTAAAACTTATAATAATTTTTTATATTATTATTATTATTATTATTATTATTATTATTATTATGAGGTTTTTTAAAAAAAAAATTCGATTTTTCAATTTTAAACTTATTTATTTACTAATTACAAAAAAAAATTATTATATATATAAAAATTAAAATAATGATCAAGTAATTAATATAATTTTTTAAATATATATATTAGTAAATATTAAAATTAATAATAAAATTAAAAATATTTTATAATAATTTTTGAATTAAGTAATAATAAAATTTCAAAAAATTAAAATTTTTTACTTATATTTAAATATAAATATATATAATTATAGATTTATTTTAATAAAGTATAATTTTTATTTTTAAAAGACTTTTTTTAAAATAAAAATATCTAGATAATACGTTTTTAAAATGGTTTTTTTTAAGTAATATAAAAACAAAATACTTTTTAATTATTGTTAAAATATTATTATTTTTAGCTTTAAATAAAAAGTTTTTTTTTATTCAAATTTTTTTTTTAAACAATTAATTAAGACCAGTTTTAATATAATTGTTATTATTATAAAAAATCTTGAAACTTTTAACAACAAAACTAATAACAAAGCTATTTTTTCTTTTTATTATACTTTTATAAATTTTTATTATTAATTAATATATATTATTATTATTCAATTAATAATCTAATTTGTATAATACATAAGTATAATTAATATACAATAATTAAATTATGCAATATTTTAAACTTTATAATATTTAAAATTCTTAAAAATTTAATAAAATATTTTTTAGTTTAATAAAATAATTATAATATATATTTATTTATTTTTTAATAATTTGCAGAATTATTAACAAAAAAAATTGTTAAACTTTAAAATTAATTTGTTTTTATAAATTAATAAAATAAATTTTTATTTTAAAAACCAAATTTCTCTTTATTTATTTATTTATTTATTTTAAAATAAATTATTTTTAAAATAAATTAACTACCAATTTCAGTAAACCAAATTTATTATTTTATACTTAAAAAAAAAAAACATTTTAAATTTTTTTATTTTATTTTTACTTATTTATTTATATTATTTTATTAAAAAGTTTACAGTTTAAAATTCTTATAAAAATATTGATTTTACTATAAATTAGTTTTATTAAATTTATTAGTATATAATTAATTATTTTATTATAAATTTTATTTTTAATATAACAATTTTAAAATATTAATAATTAATTTATATTTATTATAAATAAATATTTGAAATTTAAATAAAAATATAATTATAATTGTAAAAAAAAACACTTTAAAAATATTTAAAAAATCGAATTGATAATTATTTTTTTAGAAACTACAATATTATAAAAATAAAATACAATTTTTTTATTTTTTTTTATTAAATGTTTTACGAGTGCAGCCCAACCACTACCTAAAATCATAAAACCATACAAGATCTTATATTAAGTGTGGCTCATGCTCTTTCTACACATGACCAGCCACTCGAATTTTTGAGTAGCCCCCGCCTGGAATTGAACCAGGTCCTTCAGAAATGATGAACGTGAAGCTGCAAAATTCTGACATGCAACGACTACACTATAGAGGCTCGAAATTAACTTTTTTAAAAAATTTTATTTATTATTTAACAAAAAACACAAAAATTATTAATTTTAATACTTATCAAACTTATTTTCAAAAACTTAATAATAAAATTATAAATTTTTTGTAAAAAAATATATTTAATTAATTAATAATTTTTATTTAAATTAAAATTAAAATTTGAAAACAACAACAATAATAAAAAATAAAAAATACAATAATTTATTTAAACAATAAAGTTAAAATATTAAAATATATTTATTATTTTTTTAAAAAATAATAAATAAATATTATTATTAACAAAATTACAAATTACAATTTTTTTTTAAACAATAAATATTAATATATATATATATAAATATATAAGTTACTTTAAAATTTAAAAAAACAAAAAAATTATAAAAGTAATATTTTAAAACAAATAAAAAAGATTATTATCGTTTATTTATTTTTAAATAAAACCTAATTTATTGTAAATTTAAAAAAAAAAACAATTAAATTTTATTAAAAACACAAAAAACAAAATAAAACTCAAACCAAAAATATATAAAACAAAACCAAAATTTTTTTAATTAATTATTAACAATATATAATATTGAAAACTCAAGTTTAAAAATAAAAATATTTATAAAGATAAATATAATAAAACCAATTAATTAATTTAAAATTATTACAAAAACAATATTATAAATAAATATTTAATTAATAGTCTGTAAATTAATATTGTAATTTTTTTTTTCATCAATTATCAAATAAGATTCAAATATTATCTAGTATTATACATCAAAAAAATAATCTAAACTAGATGTAAATCATGCACTTTCTACACATAACCAGCCACTTGGGCTGATCAAAACAACACTATGCAGTTATATGAATTGAGACCATATTATTTATACTTGAAAAAATGAGCAAAATTTGTAGAACCCAAAACAAATACCAAAAGCTTTGGTAATGTCTAGCAATTTGATCACACCAGCTGAAAACCCTGATGTCAAACTAAAAATTGACACAAAAGCCAAACCATCCAATAGAATCAATCCGGCTTTCTCCATATAAGCACGATGTTTAGCATAAACTATCCAAATATCTTCTTTAAAGGTAAGACCAAAAGAGTGCACAAATTTGACAACCTCCAAGCTGGCAATCTTGAGGTCATAGAAAATGAAAACAGCCTTACAAAACCAATCATCAAAAACAAAACTCTTATAGAGAGCCATGGATACAGAAAAATTAGAAACACAAAATGACAACAGCTGCAGCACACTTAAAAAGGAGTAAAAGAAACCAAAAAAAGCCTTCCATAAAGCCACATGGAATTCCAATATTTAATGCCTAGCAGAATTGTCAACCTCACAAAAAAACACATAGTCTGACACTTCCACATTACCACAATACAAACACAACACACTAGGATAATGTTTGTCATAAAGGCATTTCTGAATGGCAACAGGCAGTTGATAATACAAGGCCTTTATAAAATAAGTACACATACTAGCTGAGAACTTGCTGATAAAACCAGCAGCCATGTGCAAATTAGGATGTTACACCAGTGACAAACAGATCCAATCGATCTCAGAAAGCAAATTATTTTTTAAAAACTTAAAACCAAAACCAACCTCCCAGTATACATGACAAACAGAATGATAAACATCATGTACAAAATGTTTAGAATTACCAGAAACAACATTACTATCAGCCACTATGAAATATTCATCCAAACAAGAAGGAAGACACCAATCAGAGAGAAAGGCTGCATTAGCAATTATGTTAGTATGCTCATTCCTTGAAATGCCAGAATGATCTTTTACTTTGTGCCAACTTACCTGTAAATTCTTATTATGGATGATATTAACAATATGCTGATGCTTAATCCAATACTGATTGCGAAAATCAGAACACACCAGACCCAATTCCGACTTACAAACATCCAAAGCAGATTGACTATCTGAAAACAAGTGAACAGAGCAAGATAATGGAACACACTCCAATGCCAACACAATAGCCTGTAATTCTGCCATAGTTGATGACAACAATTCTAATACACCTATGTCCAAACCCAAATTAATGTCCTTAAAAAAAGTGGCAGTGCCAGCTTTACAGCCAATTGTGCCCAAATCCTTCAAAGATCTATCCATATATACAGATAAACTACCAGAACCAACCTAAGAAAGATGGTTGCAAACAGCCACAAAATCACCAAAATTGAGAATGCTTAAAGAACCAACTCCATTTAAAACCAAGAGATGAGCAAGAGAGGAAGCCACATCATTAAAAAACATTGCAGAAATCTTGAACTACTTAGGAATAAGGCCATGGAGGTCTAGCCTCTTCCAATATCTGAAAGTACACTAATCAAAGACAGCACCATGACTATTACAAAGTTGATTCACAAAAGCTACACCATACCAATGGAGAGAGAGGAGAAACTTGAAAAACTTTGATTTACTTAGAACAGCAGACATGAGAATTCCATCATAAAACCAAAAAAAACTGGCCAAAAAGCCACCCAGGGACAAATTGCAATTAAGAAGAATATGAATCATGTCTGCCAGAAAGTTATTAGAAACACTGACATGAATATGAACAGGAAAACTCAATAAATAAACAGAACAACAACACAGAACTTGTAAATTATGAGATCTGTAAGAAAACAAGTGACCCAGAATTCCACCAGAGTTCACAAAACTAACAAAAGAAGCAACCTTACTCTCAGACTAAACTTGTAAGAAAGATTTCAAACCATAAAAGGATGAATAGTGAATTGTGTTACTAGAAAAATTGAGTGGTAGACCAGATTTAAGTTTTAAGCTCTTACGAATTAAAACATTCCACTTGTTACATATATCAACAAGAATAAAGCTGAACTGTATCCTATAGTTGACTATAGAATAGAGAATCACTAACACCAAATACAAAAGCTGCTTATCTGAGATAGTTTTTCTTAGAACCAGATTGGTAAAAAAACAAATATCTGAATTTGCCTTAGTCAAGCTAGGCTTTAAGAGACCCTTAATTAAAAGAAAAATACCCAAATACTGATGAGATTTACCCTTTTTGGCAATAAAAATTGGTGAGTCACTGATGAAAAGAAAAAGATTGTTGACTTTGTTATTGATAAAAATAGCCACTGTTTTGTTATTATTAATTGAAATATCATTGATCTGAAAAAATTCACCAGCTACATTGAAAATATGTTGAATAGTACTTTGACTGCTACCAATCCAAATTGTATTATTGATGAAAACACCAGCAACAAAAAAAGAAAAAAACCCAGCCTAAAATTTAGCATAATCACTTCTGGAAATAAAATAAGAATTCAGTCTATATCCACACACACTCTCTTGCTGCTTGATTTTACACAATAGAAAATCATAAAATATGTGTCACAGAAGAGGGAAAAACATCTCTTCTTGGTCCAAACCATCATGCACACAATAACCACCCATCAAACCAAAATCTATTATAACTCTGCTGGTGTGATTTTTATAAATACTACCAAAGAACTAAATAAACTTGCTGCACATTTTGATCCTGACCAAACTCTTCTCAAGATGCTCCTAGCCAACTGAATTGTAAGCCTTTTGCATGTCTTGTAGGACTGGCCAAAGCTCTCAGTCTTTTTCTAAAGCATTTTTAATAACCAAACCAATTGCAAAAATAGAAAACTGAGTCATCATATTCTTCAAAACCAAAAAATTGTTTCCATGAAGAACATTAAAAATGCTGCATGCCAAAAAAAATTTGTTAGAGAGAATTTTGAAAAAAATCTTACAAGCCATTTTGATTAAAACAATAGAATGGGTATTCATCAAAACACCCTCCCATTCATATGGTTTGAGAATCATCAAAATCCAAGCCTCCTTCCAAAAGCTGGGCACCAATTCATTAGACAGACAAGAATTCAAAAATGTTAACAACATATCCAAAACCATCTTATTACAATGCTTTCAAAGCTTATTTGAAATACTCAAGAAACCAGCAGCTTTGCTATTAGGCAGATCAGAAACCACTTCAACCAATTCATCAAAATCAATCAAACACATAACACCAAAAAAAGCTTCATCAAACACATACTTCAAGAGTTGATATTGACAATGCCAGTCACCAAAAATATTATCAACCATTTTACACTTTCTAGTCTAATCTTTTATAATTACATCTATCTTAGACATAACCAAATTAGGTTCCAGAATTAGTTCATCATCAACTACTAGATAATCAAGTACCATTTTGTGAAATGAATGCTTCAGCACACTCCTGATCATATAATCTTTATTGACCTCAAAGCTTTTCATCCTCCTATTAATAGCAGATTTAATGTTCATCTCCTTAACTCTCAGAGATTCAGCAAGCTTGACAGCATGGTAAGATCTTCTAGCACCAAAAAAAGCAGTGCAAATATGATTAGAGCTAGCATCAGAGTCTACTACATCTTGAATAACTGAAGCCTTAATATTGTTTAAAAAAATCCAACATCTCATAAAAGAATCAAAATTCACAACATTTTTTCACATGATATATTAACAATCCTAGAAACCAAAAGCTCTAACTTGTGAAATCTCAAAGATTCCTTGGTAAAGACATTATCAAAGCTCTTGAATTATTTTCTTTTAAATACCTTATTAGCTAAGAGAATTATTTTGTGAATAATATCCTACATTGCATCCAAATCTGAATGTCTCGCAGAGGTAAAAAACTTATCCAAGAGCATTGCTGCATTGGCCAATGTAGTATTTTTAAAATCATTCTATTTAGCCTCATTGACACCCTTGAACTTAAACTTCCATTGATCCTTATTTACTTGCTTGTAAAGAAAGTTTAACCACATATTCAAAAGTCCTCTCAAACTCACAAACACAGAAATGAATCAGTGATCCATGTTAAAATGCTTGCCAACTTCCAAAACATTGTGATGTACTATTGCATTAATCAGATTTGGGGAAACAAACATAAAATCAATTGTTTTTATAACATTTCTAGAATTCACCCAAGTATGTTCCTTCA